CATTTATATTGTTATTATTAGGGAGCTCAAACAAGCATTAAAGACACAATTCTCATTTGTAGATATTTTTGTACTTGTTAATAACTTTGATAAGAATACTCAATGCTCATGTAGGCCTACTCACTTTCCACGGCAAAAAGATTCCATTAGTGTTATAATGGTGTTATATAGTCAATGATTCTATGTACGTATCTATTCTCTATGCATGAATTGCTTAAAATTGAGGTTAGTTATTTGTTGTTGTTGATACTAAGGAGACTGCCGACTGATGTGATTATCTTTTGAAGTGTTTAAGGCTGAATTGTTTCGTTTAAGATCCTATTACTGTGATAACTAATACATTTATTTTTTAGTATAGCCTAGTTGAAGATGATTATTTGCTAAATAGGAATAGGCCTAACTAATTTGATGTTTATAGTCACGTTTTGTGGAAGATTCACTAGCGGTGTTTTTATTGAACAACGTCGGATTCATTTGATATTGTTTCACAAGTTATAGAATAGTAATGAATGAAACTGAGGAAGAAACAACTAGGGTTGAAACATCAGCCACCAAAAAGGCTCCCATTTGGGACCATTTCAGGACCATTAGTGTTGCACAATCATCGTCATCATCAGCTCCTGCAGGTGAGGTTGCCAAATGTATATATTGCAATCAGGTAATAAAAACAAACTTTGGGAATACCACTGGAATGAGGAGGCATCTAGAGAATAAACACTTTTCAAAATTCTTGCTGTTCAAAAAGACTCAAAGTGAATATGAGGCGAAAAAATCTAAAACACGACTGAAACCCCTTCCAGGGTCATCTGCAGGCCTAGTAAGAAAAACCCCTGATCAGACTAAACAGTCAAAGCTAACCGACCTCAATAAATGGGACAGAACCAATCCTAAGGCCATTGTACTAACCAAAGAAATTGGAAAATGGATGGCTTCCAGTCTACACCCCTACTACAGCCTTGTTGAGGAACAGGGTTTTAGAAAAGTTCTCGGCATAGCACAACCCTTATATAATGTCCCTTCCTCCAAAACATTTAGTCGTAGAGTGATCCCTGATCTGTACAGAGATGTCAAAACTGTGATCAGCTCTTCAATACAGCAACAAAAATCAGTCTTGACATCAATATCTCTTACCTTGGACATGTGGACTTCCTTGTCAAACAATGCCTATTTAGCAGTTACAACCCATTTCATGGACAAAGACTTCCATATCCAAAATTATTGTTTGGGGTGCTATTCATTTATTGGTGAACATAAGGGCGAACATATAGCTCAGAAAGTTCGAGAGAGCCTGAAATATTGGGATTTGGCAAACCTAGGCATTCCAATGTATGTGATTACAGATAACGCCAAAAACATGAAGTTGGCAGTAAGCCAGTGTAAAGAGCTAACACCCTTGAGCTGTTTTGCCCATTCTTTACAATTGGCAATAGGGGATGCGAAAAAAGAAACCCAAGGCATGGCCGACCTAGTAGCAAAAGCCAGGAAAATAGTAGGCCACTATAAGCATAGTTCTACAGCTTCTGAACGGCTACACCAAATACAGGAAGAGATGGGCAAGGAGGTGTTGAATCTTATCCAAGATGTTGAAACCCGATGGAATTCGGAGTATTTAATGCTCAATCGACTTATCAAGAACAAGGAACCAGTTTCAAGGGATCTAGTGTCATTTGGAAAAATTGATAATTTGACGGTTTCAGAGTGGCGTCTAGCAGAAGCCTATGTCAAAATTCTCGAGCCACTTTATGAAGCAACAGTCGAGATGTGCTCTTCCATAATGCCGACTGCTTCATTAGTTATACCAATTTTATATTGCATCCAGGAAAAACTTAGTGCAATCATTAATGACGAAGAAGGGGTTGGGAAAATGTTTTCACGCCAATTGCTCAAGAGCTTAAGATCTCGATTTCCTAACTCATTGAAAGTTGATCCATATGTGACAGCAATGCTGACTGATCCACGATTTAAGGATGTGGCACTGGAGCCTTTTGAAAGAGCTATTTCATTGGGCTCACTAAAGCAAAGAATCATGACAGCCATAGGACAATCGCCTTCAGAAACAAATCAGTCAAAAGGTTAGTAGGATCTCTCCAATAATAGTCTATAAAATCCACCCATAAAAAAAACTTTTTATTTTAGAACTAAGGTATTTTGAAATTATTGAAAAAATGTTTGAGCTTAACAAATCAGTCATTAGCCTGTAGGCTAATTAAGGCCATATTTTAATATGGGTCTATAAAAAAATTGTGACTATTTTTTAAGGGAACATCCCAACTCTCTTTCAAAATACTGTAGGTGTGTTTTTTTGGCTAAAGTAGGCCTATTGGAATATTTAAACTAAGCTCACCTACCTTTTACAGTGAGATATTTCTGGATATGCTCTGGGAAATGGCTATGGGCCTGGGCTACAATAATTAGGTAGATAGCCAAATTTTCATAGGTGGAAAGAGCAAAGGAAATGTGATTAGGATGTACGCTACATAAAAAAAACAACTGTGATATAAATTGAAACATAATATTGTGAAGGTACTCCAATTCAAAGGGTAAGGCATAATAATAAAACACATATTGCATATTTTTTTAAACAGTGTGATTTATTTTGTTTTTTATCAAAATCTTGTCTTTCTAGCCCAAGATGAAGAAGACAAATCAAAATCGTTGTGGTCGATCTTCAAAAAAGCTGCAGCACAGAAGGCTTCAGAACCACAGGAAAGCACCCAGCTTGAAATCCAGGTGGACAATGAGTTTAAAATCTACTTTGCTGAACAAACCATTCCACCATCGGAGGATCCCTGTGCATGGTGGAGGGAAAACGAAGGACGGTTTCCCCTTTTGAAGTCCATCGTTCGTCAGTACTTAGGAATACCGGCGACAGAAGTAGCAAGCGAAAGGACATTCTCAAGTGCGGGTAACGTTGTTTCACCATTAAGGCAAAGACTTTCGAATGAACATGTAGAGGAGTTGGTGTTTCTACATCAAAACGCGAAACTATTGTATGATAAGTTGAAATAAGTCATACATTTGACCAACAGGCTTACCTCTTTAACAGTCTTATTTTGATATCTTGACTGACAGCACCTACCAAATTTGATAGGCCTACTATGTAAATGACAAATGTGTCCCTCAATCTCTATGAAAACTAGTAGGCCTACAGTCAAACTATTGTGAATGTCAATGTAGCTGTTATATTAATGCTTATAAAATATTAAATATCATTTATGTTCTTTAGTTTTGGTTTTTGAGTTTATTTAGGATAGATATTTTAGCAACATATTCTTTCAGTGTGATTTTTAGTCAGAGCTTGTGATGGAGCTTAAATGATGCGTTTGCTTGCAATAAATGTGATAAAATGCAAATAAAATTAGGTTGTTCAATGTTAATACATTGTTATTAATTTTTATGTTTGCAATCATCTCTTGGTTAATGTTTATTTTTGTTTTGATGCTTTGAGTTTTCTTAGCTTAAGATGACTATTTGAGTACATATTTTAGTGTTAGATTTCTTTTCAGTTGTAGAGTTTGTGGTAATTTGCACTAAATGTGATAAATAAAAGGCAAATCAAATAAGATGGTTTGATCTCATAATATCTTAAGAAGATATATTGTTAATGATTTGTTTACTATTTCTTTGTTGGTGTTTATTTTTTAGTTTTGATGCTTTGAGTTTATTTAGGATAAGTAGGCTAAGTATTTTGACAACATTACATATTCTTTAGTGTTACCCAGCGTGTGATAATTGCAATAAATGTGATATAATGCAAGCCAAATAAGATGGTTTGATCTCATAATATCTTAATATTTAGGCTAAGTATTTTGACAACATGACATATTCTTCAAGTGGTAATTTTTAATCACAGATTGTGATAGTTTGCAATGAATTTGATTTGATATAAATCAAATCAAATAAGATGGTTTGATCTCATAATATTTTAAGATATATTATTATTGCTATTGATTTTTTACCATTTCGTTGTTAGTATTTATCTTTTGTTTTGATGCTTTGAGTTTATTTAGGATAAGTAGGCTATTTTGACTACATGGCATATTCTTTCAGGGTAAATTTTTAATCATAGCTTGTGATAGTTTGCAAAAAATGTGGTATATAAATCAAATTAGGCACTTTGAAATTATAATGTGTTACAATATAGGCCTACTGTTATTGTTATTAATCTGATGTTAAATTTGCCACTACTATTTTAAATTATGTTTCCCTCTTTTGTCACCATTTCATATAAAATAATAAGTTTGGTATCTAAGCTATATTTTTGATGAAACATTACAGTAATTTATGTAAAGTCCAGGGCTTTTAAAAATAAATGATACTTTTAGGCCCTAATGTCACATAAAATTAAGACTGATGCACCATAGTTCAAAAGCATAAAATGTGTACTTTTTCTTTTTATATTTGGTGAACTTGTATTTTTAGGTAGGTATTATATCATTTTAGTTTGCTTAGAGTTTTTTGGTTGTGTTTGTTGCCTAGATGTTTTTACCCTTTGTTTGATTGCATTTAGTACAGTTGAGAAAGACTGATCAATAAAGACTGAACACTGCTTTTGTTTGTCATTGTTGCCTTTTCCAAACATTTTACTTACATTTTAAAGTAAACCAAAGTTTTGATCGTCTTACACAAAAAAATCCCGTCCCGTCCCGTCCCGAAAATTGGGAAGGAAATAAAAATCCCGTCCCGTCCCGTCCCGAACCAAAAATTCAATCCCGTCCATCCCTAAAGGAAACCAAACATTACAACGGAAACTATTCACATTTTACAACAAAACGCTTGTTTGCAAAACCTTTTTTAATATAACAAAACTGTCATGTGTAGATCTAAAATTAATAAAAACTAAACAAAACATTGTGAAATCAAATTTGAAAATCAGGCCAAGCTATCAAAACTGAGTACATTTTCAACATTATTGCCAAATACAAAAATGTGTTCAAATTGTCAAAGTGAACCACTAAAACTCAACAAGATAGACTTGAAAACAAAATGATCAGATTTACCATGTGACTGCACATTGCGTCTTCGTGGTCCGTCAATGTTCCCCCGTTCTGGACGAGTACTTCAGCCATGTGCTTCTGCTCGTCCTCTGGGAACCCCAGGAAGCACACTCTTGCACCTTGGAAAGGCTTCAGTTTGTGACAGGTCTAAAACAGGAGTGAAACAAGGAATTATCTCTGTTTCAGTCAAGCAATAAAATGTAAATACCCCCGCCCCAGCAAACCTGCAGACTAGGCGAATTTCAACTTGTCTGATTACATTTTTACTAAAATATTTCTATAACTAAGACATATTTATTCCCAATTCAAATAATATTAGATTTAACGAGTGCTTAGGTTTGCTGCTACGGGGAAGGTAAAAAGTGTTTTTTGACCATACGTCAATAGTATAGGATGAAATAAATAAATTTGCCAAATTGTATCAATACATATCCATAAACAAGTAAACTACAACAGTTTTCATTTTCTCCATAAGAATAACATGGGAATTTTAAATTACACTATTTTTGAATTTTCTCCGTGACCATTAGGCATACAACAGCGCTTCAATATACTAAATTATTTATTTTTTTTAAGCTCTAAAAAACGGTTTAAAAGAAATTGGAAATTTTTTTTTAGGGTGAAAAATGGGAAAATCCCATTTTTACCCCATAAACCCCCGTTCCCGTGGTCCAATTATGCTGGTTCGCGAACTCGTTCAAATAAACATAGGTATACATGTTTGTACCAAATTTTATCAAACGGATCATTTTTGCTCGAGTTATCGCGCTAACGGACACTTATATATATATGAATTTGAACGGATGGTGTTTTTGGCCTCTAGGGACCTCAAAACAAAAAATTAAATCGGTCCCGGGTCCAGGTCTTACCACAAGTGAGTAATACAGTAATAGCTTATTCCCTATATGGGAAATTCGCTAAAAAAAAAACACTTTATTAAAGTAAAATTTATTTCCTAAAGTAAAAAAAAGTGCAACTTATTAATGCAGTGGAATAGAAAAGCAATTTAACTTAATCCAAACTGATGAATACAGTGCCCATACCTCTGAAATAATAATTAACAACCATCAGATATATTTAGCCTAAAACAAAAACAAACTCTTATCACCCATGTCAAAACCATGGAAGACGCAAAATATGGTCAAAGTAGGTTGAATACTAGATGGCGGCTAAACTGTTATTTAAATAAAGTATTGAATGAGAACCAAAACTTACGATGACACTGGAATCAGCAGCAGAATACTCTGGTTGCGATCTCATTGCCCATGCGTCGTGCACCCAGGTGGCTGCCACGATCGGCACACGGAACGTCATGGCGTACTGGTACTTGGAGCCACCACAGCGCTGAGCCACTAGATGCGTCACCTTACTGTTCATCTCGCTGCGGATACTGCCTCCCATGTTGTGGATCTTCTGTATCAGCCGCTTCTACACAACAATAACATTGGTTTTTTCCTATGAAATTATTTTTAATTATTTGTGGAGGCCTATTTAAGAGAACAAGGGTGTGATAGGCTACAAGGAACTAAGTTTTAAAGATAGTTTGTAAAGATAAAAGGCTTAAATGAATGGAACAGAGTCTGTCCTGGCACAAAAAATACAAAACTTAACACTGTACACAAATTAGAATATTTATTCAATATTTCCCTATCACTGACAATTTTAGTAACAAACATCCAACAAATAATAATAATCGTTTTACTGTCGCAAAACAATTAGCATTGAAAAAATGTTTGTATACCTCTATGAGATGTAATCCCAAAGTATTAAGTATATTCTGGTGCAATAGGAATCTGAAATCTTGTGTATTTTTTCAAAACAACAGTGTGTTCAATGTCATTAGCTGACTCAATGCTTATCCGAAAATACTATGAATAATTTGAAATTTGAAAATACATCATCATTGTTTAAACAATGGTGTTAAGGTCCATTTCCTATCCTGCGACTGATACGACTCTAGCCGCGCGGCTCTAGCCACGCGTCTAGACACACCTCAAAATTCGTATGTATAAACTATAAATTCGTTACAGCCACGCGACTGAACTGCTCACGGAGCAGTCCAGTCGCGCGGCTGTTTTTCAGGGAATGTACTCAAAATATGCGTTTACTCTTTCTTTTTAGATATTCAATAAATAGCAACAGGTTGACTATCATTAAAAAATCATCTCAGAAGTCACTCAGGTATTCCCACCTCCTGCAACCAAGTCGCGAATAAGTCACAGTGACCAAGTCGCCAAGTGTGCCCATAGCCATAGGGTGAAAGCAGTGGAAAATAAACAACAAGGCTTTAAACTTTAAATTAAGTTGGCGGTAAAATAAGTTTTCAAAGGATAATATAAATGTTTACCAGTTCTTCTTTCTTGCGGAAGCCGGTGAACGCCACGATGAGACCCCACATAGCCAGGCTGTATAGAGGCCTGTTGTTGTGGGGTAGTGGCTCCTGTCTAGCAGCCAACTCCCGCAGTGCTGTGGTCCCGAGCAATCTGTCACAAACATTCAACCAATCACTTTCAGTCTGGTTGTATAAAACATCTTGCGAAAAATGCATTGACATCTTTTATAATCAAAATTTTCTAGTATGGACTATTTTCTTGTCTTTCGTAAGTGGGGACATGCAGGCCAAACCTTTTATACAAAAAAACTGTTTGGGTTGTTGTTACAAAAAAACCTTGTGAGAAAAATTTACGTTTGTGTCTCGGTTTAAAATAGGGTCAAGCCAAAATCAGACTGCTTGGGAAAGTATTGATTACTTAAAATGTCAATAGTTAAAATACAATTGGGTTTATAATAGGCTTACATTGTATATTAATCGCGCAATCTTTATAGACGCTTCTGCCATTGCGAGAATAAAAGCTGGGATCCAAAACATCCTTCAATAAATTAGCCAGCTTCAACAAATATAATAAGCTTGAATAAATCAAACAGTCTCTTGGACAGACTGTTGGCCTAAAACGACCCAAAGATTTCAGGGACCCTGCAGCCATACAACTTTCTGGCAGCTCCCTTGATTGCTTGTAATTGTTAGTATACTCAACAAAAGATGCAAATTCTTTCATACCTGTGACCAAGTTTGTGCAGATTATCAAACACATTGCCTTCAAACTCTTCCAGAACGAAGTATATTGTGTTGACAGGTAAATCATGCCATTCAGATCCATCTTCTGACGTCAGCACTTCCAAGCCAAACTCCTGAGACAATTGTTAAAATATTAGGGCATAACAAAAATATTTGTCAGTTAATAAACAAATATTGAGCCTAGAAACAAAAGTTTCAAATAGTTTCTAGTGTGAAAATCACAAAAATGAATATATGTGTAATTATATAGGCCTATATTAAACAATAACTATACTATTTCGAATCACAAAGCTTAAAAAAATTTTTTGCCATGCAGCAGAACCTCGATTACAAGTCTCTCATGGTAATTATTGCAAAATAATTGTTATCACGGTTGACTGCTTATTGAGATTTTTCAATTACACATGTGATTCAGGTAGGGTCTGACTTAGGGGAGGTACGATTGAGGCATTAGTTCAAAATTCCTCCGTGAACAGCGCTGTAGTAGAGAGCATTTTGGCAATGAAGGTTTACTAATCGCAAAAATAGTTCTGTTCATAAAATAAAATTATAAATGCCTCAAATTCAATTTTATAATTTTTTATTATAAAATTACTATCATAACCTAACCAAACTTGCTGATAATGAAATAATAACAAAAAATTTATTAATAGAAAAATAATTCTGATCATTAAATAAAACTAGAAATTGCTCAATTAAAATTTTATAATGACTTAATAATAAAATTAAACTGTCAAACCGAACCAAACTTGCTGATAATTATAAAATCTTAGTCAAAAAGTTAATGCCACCAACGAGATTCAAACCCGGGACTCTTAGCATATCAGCCCGGCACGCTAACCACTAGACCACCGAGGCCTATGGCTGAAATCCGTATTGTTACGGTTATGGTGTTCCCTCTGCTAATGAGAAGCCCACAGCTGTCATCGTAACATCATCTATACCTCCCCTGAATTAATACCATTCAGGTAGTATAAAAAGTGAGAAGGCCTATTTGAAAATGACACCGTTATCAAGGGTCTTCTTATCAAGATTCCACTGTACTGTATTATTCTTTTCCATGCACAATAAGCAATGGTTTAAGATCTTGGTCCTAGAGTAGGCCTATGGCCCTCACAAAAAACACATTTTATTTTTCAACTCAAAATGATACAATATAGAATGTTTTTGTATCATCAGCTGGCTAGAATTGTTATTAATCAAATGATACATCTTTAACTACAAAGAGTGTTTTCTGCCAATGGCTTGTACAATATTTTGTTGATTTAAGCTAAGTAAGTAGGTTTACATAACAATTTTAACCTCTTGTAATTCAGTTAACTTTTTCAAATCTAAAAGATCAAATAAATTAATGGCCTAAAGTTTAATAGTTCTAATAACTCAAGCTTTAGTTAGATTCCCAAGATTTATCTACTAGGTACAGAAAAAATGGAGAAAATCTAATTTTTAAAGAGACTGATAAAAAGATAATTTAAAATAAAAAGAGAATTATTTTCAACAACTGTAACATATTTAACACTTTGTAACTGGAGTAATCTTAATGTTATCACACTAAACAAACATATCGTTTAGCTAAGTTGTGCAATTTCAAAACAAATATGTCATTGTAGTGACAACAGTCTGCACTTTGTGCTTCAACAGAAGTTATATTGATTGTTTTTAATTAGGTTCGTGGAACTGTAACTCATTAGTTCTGACGGCTTCCGTTTGCAATATGTAAAAACAAATGGGACTGTTCACCAAGCAATTGACCGCAACTTTTAGAAACAATCTTGAGTTGAAAAGTAAAGTACAACCAGCCAAACACGAATTGGTGAAAGAAATACCCCCCACGCAGCAAAACCTGCAGACTAAGCGAATTTTCACTTGTCTGATTAAATTTTTACTAAAATATTTCCATAAATAAGACATATTTATTCCCAATTTAAATAGCATTAGGCCTAGCCTAGATTTAACGAGTGCTTAGGTTTGCTGCTACGGGGAAGGTAAAAAGTGTTTTTTGACCAAAGGTCAATAGTATAGTATGAAATAAATAAATTTGCCAAATTTTCCCAACATAACTTATATCCATAAACAAGTAAACTACCTACAACAGTTAAATAATTTTCTCCATAAGAATAACATAGGAATTTTAAATTTACAATTTTTTTTAATTTTCTCTGTAACCATTAGGCATACAACAATGCTTCAATATACTAAAGTATTTCTTTTTTTTTAGCTCTACAAAATGGGTGGGAAAGATATTCCAAAACTTTATGTTTTTAGGGTCAAAAATGGGAAAACCCCATTTTTACCCCCCATAAACCCCCATTCCCATCGTCCGATCATGCTGGTTCGCAAACTCGTTTGAATAAATGTAGGTTTACATACCAAATTTCATTAAAATCGGATCATTTTTGTTCGAGTTATCGTGCTAACGGACACAAACACACACATATATATATATATATATGAATTTGAACGGTTGGTGTTTTTGGCCTCTAGGGACCTCAAAAGGAAAAAGTAAATCGGTCCCGGGTCCATGTCTTACCATGAGACCTACGGTAATAGCTTTTTCCTTATTATGGAAAACTATCTAAAATGATACTAAAACAGTTTATTTCAGCATAATTAATCATTAATCAAAATCAAGTTAACACAAATTATAATCCTTATTATGCCATTATAGTAGGCCTAGTCCTGAAAATACTGAACACCCATTACACACAAATTCTTATCAGGTACCTACCTAAGTTAATTTTTCACAAGAAGCAACAAATCATCAAATAAACTAAAAATACAAAGTTTAGTTTCATTTATACATATGTTCATACTTTTCATGTTTCACCGACCCAAAACACATCTCTATTCTTCATTCACGACAAGAAATATATAAGTCACTGGGCATTTCTATCAAGAAATAAATAAATCTTATTTAGAAAAATCAAATTTGTTGTAGCTTACTTCAAAATTACAAAACAATCTAATTAACTACCCTAATTAATTAAATTCTCTCGTTAGCGCAGCAAAACTACTACAAGGTAAATGTAGAGCGTAACATTAAGCTAACCATGACTGAGCCACATTATGAGTGAGGAATCATTACTGAATCAAACTGCCCAGTAAACAACTTGATACGGAATGCTCACTCATAATAAACCTACTATAAAAAAGACAAGAATTATACAGTAGCCAGAATTATTGTATACCTATGTCTTCATAGTAACATTTATTCATAGAAACAAACAGTGCACGTAGCTTTAGCATAAGAAAGAAGCACAAAATTACCTTTGCTGCTTTTTCAACTTCTACATCCAAACTCGCGGCTCCAACAAGACACAACTTTGATCCTGTTGTTAAGACACCTGAAAAAATAAAAAATATTAACAAACGATAAGCATTTTAGATGCGGTCACATTCAGATAATTTGATGGAATTTTGAGTTTTTTAGATTTCATTTCGTGTGTGTTTAGCCTAACCGTTGGTTCTTTTATGTTCTTCTAAAGGAACAGTTGAACTAGGGTCAACAAGGGTAATTGTGAACGCCAATGACAAATTTTTCAGATAAACGCAATTTACAAAAAAATTGTAAGCAATTTAAAAATGTGGTCAGTGTTAAGGCATTAGGCCTATACATATTTTGGGCTTAATATTTCATATAAGCTGATTTCATACCCTATTTAGTGAAGGAGTTTCACAATTGCCCGGATGGCATTCACAATTGCCTACAATTTTGGGGTAAATGTGAACTCAGTTGAGAAAAATATTAAGTTACATACTACAGCATAGATAGCCTAATTCAAACTGTTCACAAATTCCCCACTTTCAATGGCATGTGACAAAAAATAAGCGTACTTAAATGAGATTTTTACGTGGTACTTTGAAATAGTTAGAAAATCAGGTAGGCCTAGATGTAAAAATAATAAAAACTGGTCAGAATGATTAAAATTAATTTATTTAATGGGTAAAATAGTATTCTTATACGAGAAAATAATATAGAGTAGTTATTTGATACAGTAGACCTAAAGTAAAAATTTAAAGGAAATGACAAAATAATCTCACTTTAATCAACGAAAGAGCACAAATTTGTTTCTTCAAATTATTGAAATCCTACTGTAAAAACAATCAACCTTGGTTGAATAAAATATTAGGCACTTTCCTTTTAGGCTAACACAAAATATTAGTTGAACTAAAAATGTTTTTTTTTTATATTGAAAAAACCTAAAAAAACTACCTAGCCTATTTAGAAATCAAATTACTAACAGATGTACAACTGTCCTGTCTGCCTACATCTCAAAAAATGGAACACAACTGGAAACTTGTAGGTACCGGTAAGTAATCTGTGTTTCTTTTACAGGTGGGGTAAAAGTGAACAGCGTTCACAATTTCCCCAAGATTAGGTTCACAATTACCCCCACATAGTGAAATATTGAAGGGTAATTGTGAATTTATAAAATAAAAAGAGAATTGCTTACAAGATCGTCCCAGAATATCCTTTGGTTTGAGATTGTAATTAGTTTTCACGCTTATGGCATTGATAGATTCAGTTTTAAAGTTAGGGGCCTTTAAATGATGTTAATGAAGTTGGCATAATTTAAAACTTAACTAAATGGACCAAGATGTACATACTCACCTCAGTGGAAGTAAAGGTACCGGTAGCCTAAATAAATTACCACCTAACCTCTACGGTACTGAGAGTGAGGTGGGCTTGTGTAACATTGGTGCATTCAGTTGATTTTAGCTGCACATTTTAAGATCAAGTTTTTATCACGTATGTAGGCCTACCTATGTTTTTTGAGAAGTTCCTTGCATTATTATAAACAAATTTTTGGTTGATAAGTTTGTAACTTAGCACGTTGTTGTTTATCTAGTTAAGTTACCTACATTTGTCAGGCAGAGCTTAATAAGTTAGGTTAGATAGTGATGGTCCAAGATGGGATTTGGAGCCTAAACTTACTCCCACCGTTTATCTATGATAAAAGTTGTTGACAAACTAATGGTGAGAAAGTATGTGTCAGATCGATAATACCGTTTATTTTATAATGGTGTAAAATCCATTCAATGCATGTGTTTGTGGCGAGGGTGTCAAGTTACTAACTTAAGTTAGTTAGGTAACTTAGCCTACTTACTGATATTTGTCTACTAACTTAGCCTATGGCACTCATGTTTGGTTTAAGGAAGTTCTCTAGGTTTAGTTATGTTTCGGTCCAGTACTCTGGTAAAGGATGTTGAAGTTCGCATCGCCAAGGATGACCTATGACTTAAGTTAAGTACCTAGGCCTACGGTACTTAAAGACTCTTGGAGGGTTAAATAAATGGGTAGGCTTCTTAGCCAAGGTGGGCCTACATCAAAATCTAGCATACAAAACCTATGGTTGTTGGGGAGCTTATCAGCACAAAAGAGGTCTTGCTTGGGTGTACGTTTTTAGTCTATTAAGCTAAAACTTATTAACTTAATGGGCCTAAGTTAGGCTATTGTAGTTGGGCTACCTAGGCTAACTTAACTTGTTTTAGCCAGAATGAAATGAAGAACAAGACCAAGCTTAGCTCAAAAGTTGTGGGTTTGAATGACTTGGGACTAGGCCTAATCCAAGGCCAGTGTGTTAGCCTAGTAGCCTAGGGCCTAGTTTCGTTGACAACACTAAACGTAACTAGCCTAGCTTACTTAAAAGTTAAGATCAAATTGACATAGGTAGGCATACGTTGTAGCGAAAACGCGAATAAGCTGTAGGTAAGCCTAAGCCAAGGCCGATCTAATAACACTTTGGAAAAACGACTGTTGGCCGAGGCAGACGGATTATCTTTTGTGTAGATAAACTACATTAGATGTAAAATGTTAATGAACAATAATTAGTACTCAGGATAAGCAAACTTACTATCTTTGGAGTTTTCATCATCAAGGTCGCTGCTTTCAACAGATTTCAGTTGTTTAATAGTATTTTTACTGCTACTATCATTGGCCTCCTCCATCTTGAAAATCGTGTAAAAAGAAACATAAATTGAGACTTTAATGCTCTCAAAACAAAAACACTGCACTTTCCTATCACTACACACTCACTCTACAAATGTAAAACAATAATCCTCCGTTATATTCGCAACATTATCACGTCACCAAACACAACGCCTACTCAAATAAGATAAAAATTTACAAATATTTCAATGCCACATTAATGAATGGAACTGAGCGCAACCGTGCAAAAGCTTCAAAATGTTGTAGAAACATTTTGATTGGTTAGTTGTTGGTTAAGAATTGGTCACGTGATTATAATTTTAAAATCACCTTGGCGGTTGATGACTTTCAAGGACGACTAAACTGAAATGAGTTGAGTAAATATCTTATTTGTTGAATACATGTAATAGCATACCTGTGTATGATGAAAATGATATCACTGAACGTTTGTTGTTAGATTTCACGATTTAAATTGAAGAAGAAACGAGTCAATGACCATAGTAAAATAAATTATCAATGAGTGACTGTGCAAGTTGTTGGCGGCCTGTTAGTACCTGTTGAGTTGACCCATTGTTTATGTATTGTTTTTATTGTTTTATATATATTGAATCTTGCTACATATTCATCTATTGTTGTATTCATTTCTTGTTAAACTTACTGTTATACAGTATTACCTGTTCCTGGTAGACATGCCGCCCCTGTGTTAAAATCGAAAATAACTATAGCAAGCACAAAGAAATGCTACGCTGTATAACTATTTCTTGGATATTTAATCTGTTTTTACTTTCCCAGTAAACTTCCTACAACTGTGGTCAATTGGGAATATCTATTTTTCATAATTAAAAATAATCGTTGAATAATTGGCTCTTTTGGTCTTTTGGTTTTGAAAAGCTATTGTTTCAAAGCGCGCAGATGACAAGAGTTTTTTTCTGTACTGGGAACACAGCACTCAAAAAATAGTTTAATACATAAATATCAGTGGGAATATTTTTTATTATTCCGCCATATTTCAGACAAACATCGTCCAAGTGAGCAATGGGGTGACTTTAGGGTGGCTAATCAATTGTGTTGCATTTGCAGTGGAGGGAAAATTTTAAAACGTACGTTTTCAGGAAAAGCACTTTTAAAATTTTTTGTTCCGTTTTTTGAAACTTTTTTTATTTCAATGACATTTGAAGTTTCATAAAATGTCCATGGTAACGCAATATCTTTGGTGATTTTTTATTAATTAGAGCATCTTTGATGGAAAAACACAAAATTTTGTCATGACCATCACGGACATAAAACTGAATATTAAAAATAGTTAATATTATTTTTATAACAAACTATGTTTTGTTATAAATTAATTTACTTTTATGGCCATTATACAATAAACAGCTCACTAAGCTTTTGGTATATTTGGTCTTTCTAGAAAAAAAATTAATAAAAAAATTGAAAGACAATAAAATCTTTTAAGTTTGTATAACTCCGAAAAAACTTACCTGAGACCCGAAAAATCGTTATGTTTTTATAGAGGTGTGCTTCTTTTGTGTATAAAACATTAAAATATGATGATATTTTAATTTTTGCAATTTTTATGTTAGAAATCATAAACGTGATGGTCAGGGACAAGCGGTACGGTCGTGAATTGTCTGGAATAAACTAAATCTTTCTAAACAATCCTTCAATTATACTGTTAGTTATAATAAAAATATGTGTTTCAATTGAACTAAACTGTTCAATTTACAATGATATTTAAGTAATTGTCACGACCAAACACAGTATAATCCAAAAGGCTGGATTGGTCGTGAAAAAATCCGCGATGGTCGTGAATCTTTGGTCGTGACATTATGTGTTATTTGGCTCTGTTCTGGCTGTAGCCCTGCACCTCATGTTCGAGGATACAAAGTTGACTTCAAGGTTAATGTAGCAATTGAAATATCATATCAACAAAAATTAACACCACATCTACTTCATCAAATGACTGTACGATCATGGACACACCAAAATTACAAAAAAACACAAACTCACCTTTATTAATCTTGTAACTAATTCTTTCAACACAAAACGACCGGCACAACAAACTTGACGTACCAAATTGAGGGACAGACTTATTTTGTCATGGTACCTAGTCAGTTTGCAATGACAATAAAATTATAATATGCTTCTTTTTTGTAAGTTTAATAACTATTGTTAACATAAAAATATGGCTTTATATATTTCGGCATTAATAATTAGTCTAAAAACAGCGTGAAAGTTGGAAAATGTACCCTAGGGACACATCATGGTTGTGAATTTAGAGACTTTGAAAATACAAAAAAAAATACCTAGAACCTATTTAAAACCAAATAAATGTGTGTAACATGTTGCCCCCGTCCCAAAAAATATTAAAATACATAATAATAAACTACAAATCCAGTATCTACGAATTAAAAGGCCAGGGACATAAAAACGTACGTTTTTAAAATTTCACTCAGTGATGGTACCTGTAAAATGATCATCAAGTTAACAAGCCAATTAACCCAGTGTACAGTGCAGAGAGAAGTGAGGTGCAGAGGAAACATTCAATGGGGCGTCTACTAGCACTACTCACTGCGGTGTCTAGCACCAGTCTCGCTTCTCGCAACCCCCCTGGCACTCCTTTCCCCGACCCCACTTGCCATCAGTGGTGTAGTGGGGCAGGAATGTAAAGGTGTTGCCACTCTACTTTTTTTCAAAACAATCTTTATATATCTTCATATTTTTCCTCAACCTTGGTGGGCTTTCCTACAGTAACAAATTTATCACTACCCTGCTCGCCATTAACATGTACATACTACTACAACTCTCATGTTAGAGGAATACCGTTATGCCTTGTGCGATAGGAACTTCTGGGTGCATGAAGATAGAACAGATTACCTTTTTGTAAATTATAATTTAAGTTATAAAATTTACACTGAAAATTGAAATATTTTTGTTTTAAGGCTAATTTTAATATCCTATGTCAAGTTAACAGCATAGTGGATATCTTTAAGAGAGATTTGATTAAATTTTTACATCTATGAATTTTTTCCGTTTCTTTATCAAAATTTACTAATTAATCTAGAGCAAAAGTCAAAGACATTCAAAATTAGTGGTAATGCTTCTCAGTGAACAAATGATTAAACACAAATAATGCAATTTGGATTCCATTTTCAATGCAGTTATTTTTATTGAAATAGTATGATGACATTTTACAACAATTAAAAAGTGCATGAATAATGTAAGTAACTTACAGATGGTACAATAATTAATTGTGAATATTTAAATGCATTCATAAAGAAGGAATGGATCAGTGACCCAACTTAACTCGTCCATGAAAAGTGTTCCAGGTGGTTAACAAAATACAACCTCCTGGTCAACACAATACCTGGAGGATTTGATGTAGTAGGGTGTCAACACAATTATTTTTATATTATTGCGCCCATACAAGGGGCTTCTTCAGAGGAAAGTATTAGAAAATCAACCACTTCCTTCTCCGAAGAAGGCACTTGTAAGGGCAAACTAATCAAATAATTTGTTAACTGCCTGGAACTTTTTTCTTGGATAATTTAGATGTGAATCTATTCCTTCTTAGTAAACCAAGTGCTCTTCTCTACAAAAACTAACCTAACGAATATCTAAGTAAAAAATTCCTTAAAAAGTGATTAGGTACATAAATGTTTTTCATACTAAGAAAATGTAGCAAGGATATCACAAACTCAATCATATCGCTTTCAGTTCTTTTGACCTTGGAAGCACTGAAGCACTCTCACCAACTACCTATTTTTTGAAGATCTCCAAAGTTGACTGCACAAAGCCGTACATAGATTCCAGCTTCATCTTGGTAACGGTGATTCTGTACTCAAACCTGTTGTGAGAAGTAAACTTGTGTAGGATTGATGTCGGGATAGAGATACAGTTTTCTACAGATGCGTTTGCCTCAGGGTCCATGTTTATCTTCACATCTGCCCGATAAGATCCTGAACGGTTTAATTTCACCGAGGCTCTGAACACAGACGTTGTCTTCCCTGAAGGCAAAGGGTGGAATATTGCTGTCAACTTCCCAGCTTCCGGTTCGTTTTTCATCTCTCCCCAAAAGAAATGACCGTCGGCTATGATTGGAGTGAAGACGGATACTTCCTCCATTGGGTTAAATCCCATTCCGAGTTCACCCATGGATTCTGGTGCCAGAAACATATTCACCCACTTCCCATGAGCGTCTGAAAGATGAGCGAGGATAGAGTTTGAAGGCCCTGTCCAGTCACAGTAGCGGCAGCTGGTGCATTTGTAGGGGCAAAACTTCTCATGGTCGTCTTTGGTTTTGACAAAGTAATTGCAGCCTTGATGCCTGAAAAATGTCACATACTTTAATGGTTTAGTAATCTCATAAACTAAATTAATAGTTGAGTAGAATAGGATGATTGAACGAGGACATTGGAAGTATTCCGGGATGTACACATTGAGGCAATGGGCACCATATTTATTTACTGTCTCATGATAAATATTGCAACAATAAATGAACAGCTGATTGTAATCTCAATTAAACTATGGAATTTTAGTAAACATATATAGTGCTAACTAGTCGTGAACACTATGTGTTTTGCTGTAGAAACTTTCTTAAGAATAATGATTGTTTTGCAAAACTCAGCAGAAAAACAGCTAAATCCCATACCTCTAAACATCCCTAAAGTGGTTGTGATGTGTGTAGTTACAACACAGAGAGAATATTTCAAGACCGTTCCCTTTCAAAACGTAAAGAATACCACTGGCATAAATACACACAAAAAATTTCACTTTTTCGAGATAGTGATGGAAACACAGTAACCATAAATTCATTTGAACATGGATACGATACATCTAACACCAATCGAAAGTTTTACCACTTTCTTTCAACTTTTTAACTCATAATTGCATTGTGTTTGTGTAGCGAAGGAAACAAAAACCGTCATCAAAAGCTGTTTGAATCATAATCACTGACTTGTAGTTTTTGAAATATGTACACACAGCATAACCCATAGGTGTTGTGCTGTCCAAACCATGATAGCGACTGAAAACGATATGAGATGAAACAAGACCAACAGTGTTAACCAACCCTCTTAACACTTTGCGAGTGAAACATTTTATTGATACATTCTATTGTATTATAATATATTAAAAGGTTACTGACAAAACACAGCATATGGGTCCAGAGTTGATCCTGGTCAAACTAGCTACTATAGCTACTTTCAGATTAGTGGGTAGGTTCTATCTTGACTAATAGTTCCATACTCGACTACCCAGATAATATTTTAATACTCAGTTAATGTTTAACAATAATTAGAAGAGAATCACCTGCAAGGGTGAGGCAATGACTCGATGACTTGTTGGATGAACACAGACTGGTTGTCGCTGAAGTCTCCTCGACACTGGGGACATTTCTGTTGTGCTCTGGGCAGCGCATCGTGACAGCCGGCGCACACTGGATGTCCCCGCACACACTGCACTACAGCCGGCGTCAGTGTCTCGTGGCATACAGGACATAGCGCTAGCTGTAGCAGCCAGTCCAAGGAATGGCGCAGCTCCTTGGTCGACAACTTATCCTGTACAGTGTGATTCATTCATTACAATTTTAAGCGTTGACCTTTGGATACTGATGTAGATATCTAATCTATATTGACAGATGTAGCCTTGTATTCAATTCTTCATAAAAACAATTCTTGAAATGAAAAAAAAACAAAAACATCTATATATTAATGGGCAATCATGTTTCTTTAAAACCTTTTTTCTCAGCTTGTGTGCATCGCAGGGAAAATCTACGCATACTGTTAGAAAGATATTTTCCTGTAGATGTGCAGAACACCTTTATGAATTAAAATAGGCTCAAAAATATAAGCACAAAAAATGAATTTAAAAATTAAGAAAAAATTAACATGGGGCTTATGGGTTGCCATGCTGGGTGATGAAATAACAACGAAATAAACAACACACAATGCAATGACAAAGCAATGAGTTTGTACAAGCCTCTATAACTTATTTCAACTCCTCGAGGAGTGGTTTACAGTGTAAATAGCCTGTCCATGAATATGGTAGAAACTCAACTAATCCAGTTTTCTGCATCCAATATTAACCAAGAAAACATCTACAGTATCTATCTATATTATTAATAATGCTACATGAAACTTTGTGAACAAAAAGGTTTTTTTGTTTTAAGATTTAACCCCACATATTATATACGAAAATATTCGTCTAGGTGTAGATTTGCAAACTGACCTTACATTTTTGAAAAAGTCCCTTGGGCTCTGCCCCTGTGGCTTTTAAAGTTCCCATATGTTATCCTTATGAAGAACACTTGTTTACATTTTGATCAGCTGGATAATTTAATTTCTGTTAATATTTAGTTGCAATTTTAAGGAAACCTGTGCTACAAACATTTCCTCCACATGTGCAACCCACTGACTCACTGAATGACTAATTATTCAAATTCAAATATACTTCTAGAAGAGCTAGGCTGAAATTTGGTACGGTTATAGGTCTCGGTCCTTCAATCAGAAAACTTCAAAGTGTTACACTTTCCTATTTTAAACCCCCTAAAAAATTCCCAAAAAGCCCCTTAAAAAAAAACATGTTTTCTTAAAACGATTAACTCAAAAACTGTAAGAAATAACAACAATTTGAAACAATTTTAATGGTTAGGAGTTAAATGTTCTACAATACACTCTTCAGCCTTTTATGAAAATGACACCTCTTCACTCCTAAAAAACGCCCTACTTCTTCAACCTGTAAAACTTCTTGGAATTTCGCTGTTTTTAATTTTTTAAATTACTTTTCCGACATAAACTTGTAACGCTAAACTTGTATTTGTAAACTTGTATGCTCCCTACTTTGAAAGAAAATACACAAAAGTTACATTTTAAAACTTTCAAAAAAAAAAAAAAAATTAAAATGATGGATTTTTTAAAGTAAGTCTATGATTAATTAATTTTAGTTGCTGTCTATAATTAATCATATCTATAAACTGAAATGTCTGACCATGGGATTATTCATCCAATGAAGGTTACAGGTTTCTTCCCAAAATATGACAATTTTGGCTCAAAAGCCATTGTACTTGGATCAGTTGACTATTTTACTAACATAAGGTCTACATGTTTTGGAGGAGGTTTTGGACTGTTTTCTTACCAAAAAACAAAAAAAAAACTTGACTGATGTAAAGACACAAAATAATAATAATAAAAACTAGCAACCTGTGTCACTTCGTGACTTCAAAATCCGTGACATATTTGATAAGGGATGAAAACTATTAAGTCTAATCATATCCCTATTATTTGCATTGTGAGCCCTATTTGCATTGCGAGCCCTATTATTTTCATTGCGTGTGCGATCTCTTTGAGACATCTTAGAACAATTACAAATACTATAGTAATAACAGAAACAAAAGAACCCTGGGCCGTTTCGAGCCGCGCAGGTTTGAATGTACCATTCAAACCTGCGCGGCTCGAAATGGAATTTGTAATTTTGTTTTTGTAATTAGCGTACCGCCACACCTACCGGCGCGAACCACGTGATCTTTTCGTTTCTGCGCAGGTTGTTTTGTTTGTGGTATGTCTATAACAAATACTATGAAAACATCAAATCTAACGTACCGGTAAGTGATTTTTTTTTACATTTTACACAACTAACATTACATTATTTTACCTGAATTTCCTTGAACACCAATAAAACCTACTATGAAGACACAAAATCCTCTCACAACACAATATCTAACGTAAGTCATTTTATTCCTTACATTTTATACAGATAACTTAACTTTACAACATATTTTATGTGAATTCACTGAAACACCACCAACCACAGATAACCCCATTTTCGTATGGATGTAATAGTATATTTCGTACCTAGGGCCGAAAATGAGGTTTTGCCGGCTCGAGATAGTTTTTAAGCTCGAGACGAAGTCGAGAACTTAAATCGATCGAGAGCTGCAAAACCATTTCGGTCCGTGGTACGAACGCTACTTTTCACCACACTATACCCTATTACCACTATAATAATGCACACTGATAGTCAACACAACTACAACTTTAAGGTTATGTAAAGAAATAATTTGAGGAATCAGCAAAAATAAAAATAAATAGTTGCTATGCAACGGTGACAATAACACAATTCTATTGCAATGCTATGGATTTTGATTGTGTATTTAAAATGCATTCATGTTTTAAGTAAGTAAGCGGACAGCTGATTTTGCGGCCCCGGCCTGTAAAAACCTGCTCGGTCCCCAAATTACGACGACAGCTGGCATGGCCAGCAAAACGTAACTTTCAGCCACCAATTAACGTATGTAATACAGCCAAAAACATCATAGTGTGGTGAAAACAAAATTGCATTACAACGCTGGTGGCGCTGCCTACGAATTGACAGGCAAAGCTCTCTCCGAGTACTTAACGCTTTTTACCATGCGGTTATCATTCTGGGTTATAGTAGTATTTTTTCTGTGACCTGGGGCAATGGCCCAGGCCAACTTACAGAGGGTCAGGAGACAAGTTCCATCATACAGACTATAATATTACTTCTTACTAATATTATAAATGTGAAAGTTTGTGAGTTTGTGTGTGTGTTTGTGTGTGTGTGTGTGTGTGTGTGTTGCTCAATCACGCATAAACTACTGGACGGATTGGGCTGAAATTTGGCATGATGATAGCTCACATTCCCGATTAACATTAAAGCATATTCTTATCTCAAAAATCCTTTCGGGCTCCGCCCCAGTGGCTCTGTAGTTCCCCATGTTAACCTTATGATTTTTCATATTTAAAAGGAATTAATGAATCCTAACAGCTGTTTCAATTAAACAAGTTGGTTCTGTTCTATAATGTTCAATAGCATAAAAGTTACAAGGATTACCAACAGGGTGCAGCACTATTAGTTTTTTTTTTTAATTTATGACAACAGCTTAACCAACCAAAAGGTGAGTGAGCGTAGCGAACGAGCTAACCTGAAGGCAAGTGAGCGCAGCGAACGAGCTCCAACCCTAAGGTGAGTGAGCGTAGCGAACGAACTTCAACCAGGACGTGAATGAGTCATGCGAATACTTATGAAGTTAAACGGGGTAAAGCCCGCGGGTACAGCTAGTTTGGTATAATTTCAAGTTTAGAGTGACTTATCCCAAGGATTGCATCAGAAAATATGAATATTGAATAACATAACCATTGAAATACACAGTCCTATTTCTTGAAACTTTGCAAAACAATTAATCTTAGTTTTATAAAATTGATAATACTTTACCATTGTTGAAGAGTAGAAATAGAACTTAGCACACCAAAATAATGTCAGACTTTAGTGTTACTGTTCTGGAAGGAAGTGATTCCTCTGTCTGTTGATAAATAATGTCACCATGTAGCTTATCATATAATCATGCAGCCTCCAACATCTCTGTGTAGCTGAACGAGGCTACATAGACTAAACTGTGATGTCACCAACATGGCAACATGAACCAGTTATGCCAATAGAACTTTTAGTGTTTCGTCTTCATTAGTTTAAATTGGATAAACTTGCATTTCTTGGTGTGAAGCTAAATCAACTAATGAAATAAATTGTATGATTTTGGTAAAAAAAATATTAGTATTAGTATTGTTTAGGATGATTTTTAAGTAAAATTGTTTATAAGTGTAAGCAAATAAGTTTTAATAAATTATTTAAAAAATTACTGCTATCTATATAAACAATATATTTTTACGAATAGTAATTTATTAGAACATGGCTTGGTTCTCTAAGACTTTTTATTTTGCGCTAAGTTGTGTTTATAAAACAATTGAATACCAATAAAAAATATAGATATTAAAAAAAAAAAATAAACCTTGAAGAATATGGTAGATTATGGTAGTCCCTTACTGTAATTGTATCTTTTCTCACTACTTATCAGATATTCAAAGTTGGATTTTGAATAATTTTCTTTTCATCTATACATCCATCTTTGATTCATTAAACATTGAATTTTCACAAATAATAATACAATGTTCAAACAATTGTTGCATTCAATTAAGGCAAAAAGGCAAATTTTGAATGTAAACAAAACATGGAAGGTATAAGAACAGAATCATTTTTTGGACAGCCTGAAACTTAATTATGTTATTGTCATTGTTGTAAATTTTGTATAAGTTTGAATTCAAATGGAAACTTCAAATAGGAAATACAATGTTACTTATTCCAACTAAAATTAATATAAATTTAAAATTTTCTAAAAAGGTAGTTCTTAAAATAAAATAAAACTAAAAATCATTGAAAGAGATATTAAATCCTTAAGATAATATTGGTAGATCACACAACATTAATTTTCCAAACTAACCTCCCAACTACACCTACCATGCCACAATACAGTACTGTGTCTCACAATTTGTGTTGGCTGCATTGCAGGTCTCAAACAGCTGATTCCAGGAAAGGCATCTGCTGACTCCACACACTGCAACCCCAGCATATTTACTTGAGACCACCTTACGCCTCTTTCACACGAAGCGGCGCGCGCCGTACGGCGTCCGCCGCGCGGCGCTGCGCCGGACAAGCGTGTGTCTTCACACTAGTACGGTTTCGTGCGGCGCGCGCCGTACGGCACTCCTAAATATTTATTATTTTCTGTTCAGTTATGGCTTTTAAATGAATACTCCACTTAAAAGTTCAAATTAAATGAATAGGATAATTTTAAATATAATAAACTAGTGCACCTGTTGCTCGAATTTGAGCAATTGCAAAATATTAAAGGAGTTTTTTTACGAATAACTGTCACTATTTCCGTTGACGTGTGAGAGTCAACTCAAAGATAATGTAACTAATCACTCCACTCCAGTTATCGAAACTGGAAACGAACTCACTCTGAAAACGAACGCTCACTCCACTCCATCTATCGAAACTGAAAACGAAAACTCTTGTGTGTATCATGTGTGTACTATGAACAGCTGTAATTAATACAAATTATTCGTCCGTTTAACTAAACAAAATCTTGTCTTCATAAGATATACATTGGGATTTTGATGGCCTGAAGGGCAAAGCCCGAGGACTTTTACTACAGGAATTGGTGAAAGGGGGCGTGTACACAACAAATACTTAATTTTGACACATCGTTTGTAAAAATCGGTTCATTATTAACGGAGGAGTAGTATTTCGTAGAAATCATCTTCACGTATTATATATAAGTATTCGTCATATCTGAAAATATTGTATTTTAGAAGTTAATAAAATGTTTCATTACGTATAAATTACTAAATTATTAATTTAATACTAAATATTCTCCTCTAGTTATTAAAGGAAAATTTTTGTTTTAATACTTTAAGTTGGTTGATTTGCATGGGATTAACATAAAAATGTATGTTTTGTAATAACTTTAAATATATTATTTTCCGATACAACGATATATAATTTCTTAATTAACTGTTGCACCCTCTTGGTCAGGTAGTTTGCCTAAAATGAGGCAGCGTAGGGGTTGGGCCGTGCGGCGCGCGCCGCACCGTGTGAAAGCTCCCATAAGAACCAATGCACCTTCACCGAGTTGTCCGGCGAGGACGCCGCGCGGCGCTGTCGTCCGGCTCAAGGTGCATCCGGCGGTAACTCGCGCGCCGTGCGGCGAATTCGCCGCGCGGCGCGCGCCGGACATAGTGTGAAAGGACTCATATACTCCCATAGCCCTACGCCGGATCCGGCGGGCGCCGCACGGCGCGCGCCGCGTCGTGTGAAAGAGGCGTTAGCTTTACCACTTTGCCTTGTACAAAATACTGGCTCGTCTGAACAAAAAATGTTGAAACTGAAACCAATATTTTACTTTCATATGGCTTTTAGGTTTCATTAGATGGAAACGACACAATGAAAATTCTCCATGCATTTGACCCTATGGTACCTTTTTACTTTCTCCCCCTAGAGAAAGTATTGTCATTACTGTATTAAAATTTTTTCTTGAGTCTGAGTTTTGGTGGGAAATCTGTTTTGGGTCCCCTGAACCCAAAAAGGTGGTCTTCGGATGATGCTGTGTGTGTGTGTGTGGATGTGTACAGTGCTATAGTACAGACCACACATATGGTCCGATTTTGATTAAATTTGGTATGTCAGCCTATCAACATACATTATAGTATCTCCAGGCTTTTTTATAATTTGTTTAGAAATTTAGATTTTTAATCCAGATTTATCCATAAAACCCATAAAATAGCTGTAAAATTTGATTTAGATATAAAAACAAAGAAATGCTTGAACGATAATTATAAAAATTCAGTTTATTATGTTCCTTTTAACTCTATAAAAAAATTGTACAACCCCCAATGCTGTAAATTTTACAGAGTTCAAAAGCTAAGCCTTTGTAATTTTACCCAAGATATCATAGTTACGTTGGAGTGATTCTGGATACAAATATAACCTTGGAAAGATTAGTTTTATTTAGTGAGAATAGGAAGTTTAATTTCATTAAAAGTGTTTGTGATTCCTCTTTATTGGGATTTCTTTACTTTACTACTTCTTTACTTACTCAAGATTTAAGACTGCACTTTCTAAGCCCCCCAGATTGACCACTCAAACCATATTGTAAAGCTATTGAATGTACACAGAGAATCAGATTTATCACAACATAGTAAACAAACAGTATCAGAAATCTGACAAATACTATCTCCCATTAGCTTATCAACAATCCAATATGGGTAAGTGGTGGGAGTAACTATGATATTTTCTAGGGAAAAGTCACCAAAGTTGAAGTATTTTAGTACCCTAACTTTTACAGCATTGGGAGTTGTACCATTTTGTTTAAAATTAAAAGGTCTATAACATGCTAAATTTTGATCAATTTGCTCAGATGATGGCATTTTAGTGCAAATCTGATTTTCCATTATTTTATAGGTTGTTTGGGAAAATCACCATTAAAAATTTAAACAAACAAAAAAAACTAAAAACATTCCTGCAGACAGTACTCGCACACATACCAAATTTCATCAAAATTGGACCACAGGTGCAGTCTGTAGCTCTGTATACTGTATACTTATATTTACCTCTATACTGTTGTTTCATAATCAAATTCACCCCTATTAGAGTATCGATGATATTATCTTTTTATGTACATAAAAAATAAAAATAAATTTAGAAATTATGATTTGGGTAAAAACATAACTTATCCTTCACTCAGATACCTAGGTGGCGAAACTAAACCTAGGTGGCTAGTGGGTAAACTAAAAGGTGACTAAAACAGCTGAGACGGTGAGACACGTTCAAGTTTAAGGCCGAGCTAGGCCAGTCCCGCTTAGACTGAGGGTCAGGATACAGCTCCGATCGTATAGACTATATACCATGTCTTCAGCTGAATAATCCATTAGGAGGGATCTATGAGACTATGAGCACAGAAAACGTACTACTATAACCCAGAATGCCAACCACATGGTAAAAAGCATTAAGCGTTTTAAGAGAGCTTTGCCTGTCAATCCGTAGGCAGCGCCACCAGCGTTGCTATGCTATTGCATGGCAACGCTGGTGGCGCTGCCTACGATTGACAGGCAAAGCTCTCTCAAAACGCTTAATGCTTTTTACCATGTGGTTGGCATTCTGGGTTATAGTAGTACGTTTTCTGTGCTGTGAGATGGAGTATGTGCAGTCATTGACTTTTGGATTCTGAAGTAGTCATCTCACTGCATAGACCAGCTGTCACCAGTTCTTTGGTTCAAATCTATATCTATAATACATGAAGCCGTTTTTTGTGAACACTACTACCCTACTCCTCCCTTACTAACAAACTAACCAATTTTAACATTTGAGGTGTCAAAAAAATTGTCTCAATTTGTAGTTTTTCTTGTAGAGAACACAAAAAATAAGGCCAGCTTCTGAAAAATGATAAAATATTTACAAGAAGTGTTTATTCATTATTATAATATCAAAATGTTTTAATAGTGTGATTATTTCCATTAGTTACATTTTGTAGATGAGTCTTTCAAACTCATCGAAAATTATGACTGTTGTTAGTTTTAAAATAACTCCCGTATAATACCGATACTTGACAATTGCTCGATTTTAAGCAATAGGTGCACTAGCAGTAGTACATAATTCATAATTCATATTCCACTTGCAGAGCACTACTGTATAAATTTAATTTTCTCCTTTATTTTTTTGTACAATGACATTTTAGTTTACAGTAAATTTTCTTTTCCATTTAGTTTTGTTAAAAAGTTTGCATATTCAATGAAATTCTGTAATTCACCTCACTTTGTCAGTGGATTAATTCAACTCTATCCATTTAAATTTTAAAATCTAAAATTGGCTACAGTTTACCATTGGAATGGGACATCTACTTCTATCCCGACTGGGACGGTGGTGTCGTTCTGTAATCCAGCAACTAGGAGGTCACGATTTGTGGATATATTTATAGGCACGTACTGTGGATGTGATACTCCCTGGTGTGGTTTAACATCCGCACTAGTGAGTACTATGACTATCCGCAGTGCTATCCTGATAATTAGACCAATTCGTTAATTACAAGGAAAAATTGTTGTTCGGATTCCACTATAAACTGTAGGTCCCTTAATTGCCATTGGCTGTATGGGCTATTGATTAACAGCTGTGTCCAAGGAAAAATGTCGGCCTTAGTCACTAACAAGACTACAAGATCGCGCCACTCCTACACTCATCTCCATTACTTGGCTTAAAATACCTACATTCGTATGGTCGCCATTTCAGATTTAATTATTAAAGTATCAATATTCAATTGTCAATATCTATGAATGAATTAAGGTGGTGTAAGGATAGTAATAAAACAAGACATTACATAATCACCAATATATTAAAGGCCCTCCTGTTGAATATTCTATACAGGTCAGGTTATCTATCAAGCTGACACACAGGTGTAACAGATGCAACGAAAACTCTGTCCGTTTGAGCGAGAATCAGAAGGCATCGTTTAGATATTACACTATTAGTTTGTTAATTTGTAGTTTATAGGGTCACCTTGAATTGGCATCTTTCATTCTAGTGTGAACTGTTTTACTCAGTGTCCAAATATTATCAACACTCGGATAAAAAAACAAAGAAGAAGGTATTACTAGTTCTCAACCGACTAAGTTGGTTTCAGGGTAGAAAGTTTCCCAAAGTTAATTTTTGGAGAAAATAGCCTTGAAAATTGTAGCTAAACATTGTTTTGATTGTAAATCTCAGTTAAGTGTATTTAACTGCATGGATGAAAGTGAAAATTAACAATTTAAAGTAAAGAAACGGTAGGTCAACACAGTGCCGGATTTAACACCAAGCAAAAGGACTCCCCAGCGTTTTGTAAAAAAGTAATAAAGGACGCCCCAGCGTTTTGTACAAAAGTAATTTCTTATAACACATTTCTTTTGTGATAGTGACGCCTCAGTGATCATGGGAAATATTC